TTATCCTTTAACTATAAAAGTTCATAGTCTTTTGCCTCTAAGGAAGTAATTTCTAGGGTAGGTCTTTTCCCATCATCTAAAGTAAGTGAAAGCTAAGATTTGTTGGGTGATAAACTGCCCTGTAAAGCAACGGTCTGGTAGCTGCTTGGCTCCCTGATGGTTGTGCCTCCGGCTCCTCCATCTTTGTGGGCCCTGGCGGATCTGCCAAAAGCACCTTTACTCTTGGTTGGCTGGTCCCAACCTGGCCCAGCCACCTGCACGACTCCTGAGGCTGCAGGATTTCTACAGTGCTTTAATGATGAGAACTACCCACAGCAAGCACGCTGAACTGAACTGAACTGAATGGGAAGCTGGACATGGACCTTCAAGGAGGCAGGAAAATGGTTCTTTCCCTGCCTCCTATGTGTATACAGTCTGCAGGACAAAATCTTGTGATTCCCCCGCCCAAACTGAGTAAGCATAACCACTAATCTTGCTCACTGAGCTTCACATTAGCTGTTGCCTTAGGCTGGGACAGCCTACATTTCACAAAGTTTCAAATAAATTAGAAAACTATAAATATCACTGTTATAGTTGCAAACTTTTCCCCAGTTTGTAAACTCCATTTCTCAGCAATGTCTCTCGAGCGTAGTAACACAATGTACAAAGGAAATATTTAGGGCATGTCTGTTGGGGCTTTCTGTTTACTTCCCCCTCACCCCACTGATCACTTCTGCTGGGGTTCAGAGATGTCTAGGGGAGGGGCTGTTCTTTTTGGGACAAGTCATCAGGTTCAGGACTCAAAGGGAATGAGTTAAAGATTGTTCTGTTGCCTAGGTATTTTTCCTTTTTTTTTTTTAACATAAGAATGCCTGGGAATATAAGACAAAAATACAAGTCCTTCACAAGCAGCTGAACTCCTTATCCCACTGATGGTGTGTTCAACCTGACAGCTTCAGCTCCTCAGAGCAGCTATGGGCTCAGGAACTGAAAATCTTTGGTCCTCTTTTATACCTCTCTCTTTGGTCCTCTTTTATACCTCTATTTTTATACCTCTCTCTCTTCCAAATTGGAAGGTCTGATAACAAATCTACCCAGGGCATCCTTTCAGATTCCTGATGCAGCTTTGCTTTTATGATGGCGTTAGCAGGATCTTTCATCATCCTCCTCCCCAGAGCGTCTCCTTTCATGCCCACATGTTTTACTTGCATTTGAAGTAAAAAGTAAAAAGATGTTTGGTTTTGCTTAAAGCATAGCAGGGATTACAAAGGCAGATATCATGATTAAAATAAAGCCAGCCAGTTCTCTTTTCCAGGAGGTAGTAACACCCTACTCACTTCGCCACCTTCAGAAAGGAGTTGACTTCTCCTCCCACAGCTTCATATTGGGACTTTTCAGCCCCACCTTCCCAAGGAGGGGCGGAGGCCTCCCAGTGGAGGGGGGCTGGATACAAACATTTAAAAACCTAATTTTGCAATAAGACCTTGGGGAATTTTTGTTATTTTGTTTTGGGTTTGTTTTCCGGCCAATTGCTCACTTCCCTTTCTCAATCATTAGTCTTTTCCAAGCCTTAATCCAATAACTGAAATGTTATTAGGACTTTAATCAGTTATTTTCTTGATACAGATTATCACAAGGCTGTTGAAGAAATCACGCTCACTAAAATTTCCTTCCCTGACTTTTCCACAGCCTGCTTTCTGATTATATTGTTGGATGACTGCAGAACCATTGATTTACTTCTGAGCTTCTACAGTAAAATTTAAACTAGGGATGAGTTCCTATGCATTTTGTTGGCTCATCTGCCAGATTCTGTTTCCCTTGAAAAAAATTCATTCAGGGATAAGGGTTCTGAATTCTGGGGTTCCACTACCAGTTGACCTCAAATATCCTTAGTTTGCCAATGATGAATCCCACATTCTCACTTGAGTCCACTAACATAGATATTCAAATCCTCATTTGGGCATTCAAGAATCTAACAGTGGTTTGGGTTGGAAGGAGCCTTTAAAGATCATCTATAGTCCAACCCATCTGGCATTGGCAAGGATATCTTTCACTGGACCAGGTTACTCAAAGCTCCATCCAATCTAACCTTGAACATTTCCAATGATGAGGCCTCCACAACTTCTCTGGACAATCTGTTCCAGTCTCTCACCACCTTCATGGTGAGTAGAGAAGAAGAGAACTTCTTCCTTATGTCTGATCTAAATCTACTCCCTTGTAGTTAAAACTGTTAGCGCCTTGTGTTATCACTACATGGCCATGGTAAAAAGTCTGCCCACATCTTTTTTATAAGCTCCCTTCAAGTATTGAAAGTCTGAAGTAATATCTTCCAGGATATCTTTCACTTCTCTAGGTTGAACATCCCAAATTTTCTCAGAGTTCCGTCATAAGGGAGGTGTTGCAGCCTTCTGACCACATTTGTGGCCTTCCACTGGACCTGCTCCAACAGGTCCATGGCTGTCTTGTGGTGAGGGCCCCAGAGCTGGATGCCATTCTTCAAGTGTGGTCTCAGGAGAAGCCACAGGCATCCGGAGTGTCCATGTAAGTCAGCATGAAAAAACCCCAAAACAAATGCACAAAACAAAGCTAAAAAAAATTTTTAAAAAACACCCCAAAGAAAACAAAACTCTAGAATCATAAAATTATGTATGTATTGAAAAATATATGTATTTTACCATCAATGTTACATCCATCTGAAAATTCCAGGTTTAGACATGCTTAGTATTCATTCAGCAGGAAGGAGTGAGATATTCATAAAGTAGTAGGGTAACAAATGCAGTCTTCAAGATCTGTATTAGCAGTCTGGAAGTACAGTTGTAATATGTGAGTGAATGGTACTTAATAATTTTATAGGGAATCACCTTGAAATTGAAAACATGGTAGGAAAGTACTGTGGATTTTCAGTGTCACTCTTGCACAGATCAAAGGGTTAAAAGCACCACACCTCAGGCTGAACAAAGATTCTCCAATGCTATGACCTCAGAGAAGAGGAAGGTTATACCTGCACTGAGGTGATCGTGCACTGGAGCTGTACCTGTTGTTTAGGATATGCTGTGAGCTTCGCAACAGTTCAGCTGGGATTGGGCAACCCCACAGAAGTGGTTTCAGTAGCCACGAGACGAAGCTGCTGTGGGGGGTGGCATGGATACCTTCTGTCTGTGGCATGTACAGACGTCTGCAGGTGGGACCCCACCATGTTCCTGCAGCAGAGCAGGACCCAAGGGTATCTTCTGCACGTGCAAGGATAAGAACAACCATGAGGCTGCTTACACCAGGCACCCTGAGTAAATTTCACATAAGCAAAGACTTAGGCTGCAGAGGTTGCTGCGAGACCCACAGCTGGTTACTCTTGTGTGCACCCCCAGGGTCTGACTCGAGCAAACAATTCCTTCAAGTTCAAGAAGTGTTTGGACAGTGCTGTCAGACACATGATGTGATTTTTGTAGTTGTGCAGTCCAGAGCTAGGAGTTTGACTTGATGATCCTTGTGGGCCCCTTCCAGCTCAGGATATTCTATGAACAGTTGGGGTAGTATGGCACGTAAAATGCAAAGTACATATGAACAAATAAAGTGTCACTCTCTGAATTTTAATTTTCCCTTGCAAGCTGCAAGCAGGTTTCAGAACACATTTTGAGTGAAAGTTTGCAAAGATTGCCATGTGTGTTTTGGTTCAGTACTGGGACAGACTTAAAACACAGGCCAGTGCTGTGAAAGCACCTCCATAGTAATTGCAGGTGTTTGTCTAATGCATTTTAGGAGGATTTACACCTTAATTTGTCATCTTCTAGTAAAAGAAAAAAATGCATATAAATCTCTGGGTTCCTTTAATTACTGCATAGTATTATGAATAAGTTTAAAACCAATTTATGACTTTAAATCTCTATGGACACATGCCTATTTACTGAAGAGTTTGTGGTCTTTCTCCTAGACCCTTCATGGCTGCTAAGACCTTTCTGTGATAGATACTTGCATTGTGAGAAAAGATGGGTCTCTGTGGGATTATTGTTTTCCTCTCTTGTCATCCACCTCTGCTGAAGAACGTGGAGAAAAGGTGTGGCTCTGGCTCACCTCCCACTCTGCTGGAAAGGTAAACTGTGCCAACTGGCTGGGCAGCAAGTGCTGAGACAGACACCAGCTGCTGCCAGGAGAGCTCCTGCCATGGGGGAAGAGGAGGAACCAAACACAGCCCTTTGCATCACAGTTTGTTTTCTGGGCTGTCCCTAAAGAGACATAGCACCCTATCACCCTGTGTAACAAATTCACGGGAAGCTTTGTAATCTGGTTATCTTAGTCTTCAAACATAAACAGCAGGAAAGTAGTTCTCTTTATTTATAAGTTAGATGTGGTCCATAGATCTTTTTCCAAAAGACCTCTAAGGAGCTACGTTTGTATTCTTAATACCCTGAACTGGAGATAATTTTTATGCTGTACATTTTCTGGATACCTGAAGATGAATCACTTGAAGAAAGGGAGTGTTGTTTCATTTTAATTATGTAATAATTTATACTCCTCCCCTTGACTGAGATTGCAGGGTGAGGAAAGCTGGCAAGCCAGGAGAAGACAGAGAAATAAAAAGGTTCCAAGGGTTCATCAACCACATCATGTCAGTTACAGGGTGTTTAAAGCATATGACAGACTTTTTACCTTCATATTGTCTTTTAGGGGCCAGGAAACAGCAGATTCTTGTGAAGATTCATGTAGCACCAGTACAACTAGCTAGAGGTAGGCTTAAGATGTGATTAACTTCACATTCAAAAGAAAGAGGGGAGCAAATAAGAGGAGAAAAGTTGTGTAGAACCACCAGTCATTACTACCCATGTTTGCAAGTGATGCAAAAGTTTTAGAAAAAACAGTTGGAATCAGTAGGAAACCTCTCAACATCAGTAGGCTTTGCATCAGCAGAGTGATGTTGTCCAGATAATCCATATTTCCTCCACCCCTCTTTGCTGGACAGTTTCTCCAATCCCTTCCTTGATAATTCAAGGAGAGTTTTTTGGTTTCTAACTATGTGTTGTTTACAGGAGTAGGGGGAGGAAGGTGACCACAACCCTTTCTGAAGAGAGAAGCGTTACTCTGTCTTGACCCTTCATGACCATGTCTGCCTAATGACACCGTGGTGAAACAACTGTGTACTTGTGTACTTCATTTTGGACCAAGACCTCCTGGATTTGTACCACCAGACATCTTTGGAGGATCTCCTTCCTCTTCCTTTGCCATACCTAGCTAACCCGTATCTTCTGGAAAAAGAAAAAGGCAGCAGGATTGGTCTCGAGGTATGTTAGCAAAAAGAAAAGTATTACTGTCTTTTAACTTATTGATATCAAGGTGTAAAGCCTATGATATGTAAGAAGGGAGAGTTAAGAAGCCTTTGCTGGCCTCAGAGGGTAGGTGATGGGAAAGCCACCCTCCACACCACTGATTATATCATGATATGATGTGACGATGGCTAGAAAAAATTTATTGTGTAAGATGTCAATCCAAATATGTTCAGACAGAATTCATCAAGGTAAGGAGGTAAGTTATTTTTTTATTTACCCCCTCATATTTGTGACTTAGGTCTGAATTATATATATAAGACTTTATATATGTCAGGCATCATCTACCATCTTCAGATGCTTTCCTGATAATAGTATCCATTGAAGTTCTATCCTTCAGGGCTATGAATCTCATATTAATATAATTTAGTGATTTCAGCAGGTTCATGAGGTCTGCATTTGGGGAGGGAATGAGTAAAAGGGAGCCCTTTGGGAGTGCATATAGTAATTTAGCAGCAAGCAGCTATTCAAGTCCCTGTTCAGTTCATGGAGAATTATAGAGATGATATATCTCAAAGGGTCTTTTTTTTCCTGAAGAATTAGGGAATATAAGTTCAATCTAATATGGGTGAGCTTTCACATGCATATAAATCTCTGTGTGCTTTGAGTTGTTGCTGAACTAAGGCAATCACAAATTAGGTAACTATTTTTTTTTTTTTCATAGGTAGATATGTATTTGTCTTTATCCATAGCATGTTAATTTTGATCCAAACACAGAACGAAATCCTGTTTTCATTTGTGTTGCTATCAATCAGGATTCACTGAGAGGTACATCTGGTGATGCAGGTGTGAGATGAGAATTACGTAACTATGAAATTCTACAAAATCTATGTTGTAATTTATCCATCCTGAAATTTGAAAATGAAACCTGGAGATGCCACTACCTCCTAACCATGGAAACTTTCTAAATTTCAGTGAAATACTGCGCTAGAAAAAAAAAAAATCACTATTTAAAAGTGGTAGAAGTTTAACCCAGCCTGTGAGTTAAAACGTAGTGGTGGACAATGTTAATAAAGCTTATCTCACACAGTGTTAAATATTTAGAGAGGATTGTCAGTGGATATAATTCTTCTGACTATATTATATATATCAAAATAGAAATAGCCTCCTTGAAATAGAAATCCTTACACTGAATATCAGTACAGACATAGCTCACTTGAAAACTGTTTTCTAAGAGGTAGGGATGAAAGGAATTTTAGTGGCACCAGCATCTGTGAGGTGGTGAATTGCACCTCTGAAATGCTGCTTTCACAAGCTCAGACTCTCCTTGGCATGGCAAACAAAGAGGAAAAACCTCACAGAGAGGAATGGCTGTAGCTGGGTCACCCCAACCAGCACACCAAGTGGGAACTACCCAGCTCAGTACAATGAAGATAAGCTTACATAAATGTTTTGGTTCAAATTTGTTTTGTAAGGTAGTCAAGATTTACCAAAGGGTTTTTTAAGTCATATAATATGACATGGTCTTGAAAACTGGTTTTATATTTTCCCTTCTTTGACACTGTTTAGAGAGGTACATTCTCACTGTTTAGATGAGTTTGAGTCACGCCACTCTTTAATTCTGGAAAGCATCTTACGTTAACATCTTGCCTAGGAGTGTTCTCACCACAGCTGAGCCCAAGAACATGAGCTTTGGCCCACTGGCTCTGCCTAGGTAAATATTCTTTCATTAATGTCAGTTCAATTGCAGACTAGGCCTTGGTTTCAAACCCTAAAAAAAGCGCACATAAGAGGAATAGTAGAAAAGAGAGGAAATTCAAGGGTAATTGCCCAAAATATATAGAACAAAATGTTAGGGAAAACAACTGGGGGGGGGG